TCAAAAGAGTTTTTTTTCTTCCTTTGCCGATAAGGCACTCTATTTTCTTATACAATCGATATTGAGGAGATTTTTTTTAAAGATCACGCAACAGTCCACTCCATTTAAAAATCACGTAATAAAATGATTTTTATCGAAATTGTGATATCTACGGTACCTCTTGAAGAGTTTGCAAGATGTTTTTTTAAAGAGCTAAAAAAAGTGAGTGGAAATCACTTTCGTTTAGTTATTGATAACAACAATAATTAGTGAGGAGATTTTTTTTTAAAGATCAAGTAATAGTCCACTCCATTTAAAAATCACATAATAAAATGATTTTTATCGAAATTGTGATTTGTACCTCTTGAAGAGTTTGCAAGATGTTTTTTTTTAAGAGCTAAAAAAAGTGAGTGGAAATCACTTTCGTTTAGTTATTGATAACAACAATAATTAGTTATTATTTGTTTTTTAAATTGTTATTGATACTCTAAAAATCTAACTTTGCACTTCAAACTTTTTATAGTTAGAAAGAAAATTACTCTTATGATGAGGCAATATTATATTTTTAGAATGCAAATAGCAGTCCGCTTGTTTTTCTAATATAACGATGTATACTAAAAAATGAAAAATTTGTGCTAAGTCTCACAATAACCATCATAATAAATTAGTATTAAACTTGCTGCCTACGAAATTCGAACTAAGAGCTCTCACCCATATTTTTCACAATTCAATATGATGAGTATAAAGGAAGAAAAAAGTAGCGTGTGAAAATCACTTCACTTCAGTTACGATGGCAACATAATTAGTCATTATTGAAGTGATTGCCAAATAAACAATGTTTGATTGAAAATTTATCAGGCACAGTGGCCCAAAAATAATCCAATATAAAATCAAAATCGCAGGCCCATTACCAAATCAAACATGGGCCTGAGATTTCAGATCCAAAACTGTGCGCCAACCAAACCAACGACCAAACAAACCACCAAAATGTCATCCACCTTCCCCACCAACCATCGAACCATCTGAAATCTCTCTCCATCTCCCATCCCATTATCTCCAATCCAGCGAGAGATGCAGACCCGGTTCACGGCCCTAGCGGCTCGGACCCTAAAATCGACCGCCCGGTCCTTCTCCTCCTCCTCCACGCAAACCCCGCCCTTAACCGCCGCAACCTCCTCCCAGTTCCCACAAACTCTGGCGGGCCTCCGGGCCCGCCTCGCCGCCGATTCTCCGGTTCTGACGGACTTCGTGGAACGCGAAGGCCCCTACTCCGTCGAAGTCGGAACCAAGAAGAATCCTCTCCCGAAGCCGAAATGGATGAAGGAGTCAATCCCCGGCGGCCAAAAGTACACTCAGATCAAGAAAAAGCTCAGGGAATTGAAGCTCCACACGGTGTGCGAGGAGGCCAAGTGCCCCAACCTCGGCGAGTGCTGGTCCGGCGGCGAGACTGGCACCGCCACCGCCACGATTATGATTCTCGGTGATACGTGTACGCGCGGTTGCAGGCAAGTTGTTTGATGAAATGCGCATGTGAGAGAATTGCTGTGTCTTTTGGTTTATGTATGTTGATGGGAATTTTTTGGTTTTGTGCTGATATTATCAGGTTTTGTAATGTGAAGACTTCCAGGACTCCTCCGCCGCCGGACCCTAATGAGCCGACCAATGTGGCGGAGGCGATTGCGTCTTGGGGTTTGGATTATGTGGTGATTACTAGCGTGGACCGGGACGATTTGCCCGATCAAGGGAGTGGACATTTTGCTGAGACCGTGCAAAAGTTGAAGGTGCTCAAACCCAGCATGCTCATTGAGGCTTTGGGTATGGTTTTGTTCTTCAGTTTAAATTAGGACGATGTTGTCAGCTCGGTATGGAATTCGGAACATTTATTTTGATTCGACGAAATATTGCCTTTTGTATGCCCGTATGATTAAGAGGTTGTGAGTATTAATCTAATGGATGTGAAGTTTGGCAATTATGTGATTAGAGTTCATATGTGATGTTGATTTTGCACGTTGTCTTGTAGTTCCTGATTTTCGGGGAGACTCAAGCTGTGTAGAGAAAGTTGCAACATCGGGATTAGATGTCCTTGCGCACAATATAGAGACGGTTGAAGAGCTTCAGAGGGCAGTGCGGGATCATCGTGCCAATTTTAAACAATCTTTAGATGTTTTAATGATGGCCAAAGACTATGCTCCTGCTGGAACACTTACAAAGACTTCAATAATGTTAGGGTGTGGAGAAACGCCTGATCAGGTTGTGAGGACAATGGAGAAGGTGAGAGCTGCAGGTGTCGATGTTATGACATTTGGTCAATACATGCGACCTTCGAAGCGCCACATGCCTGTGTCTGAATACATTACTCCTGAGGCCTTTGAGAGATACCGAGCTCTTGGCATGGAAATGGTATACTTTTACCCTTTTGTTCTTAACTATGCTGGCTATGCTATTTGATTCCATGTTTCTATTCGGAGCAGGTTTTTTCATATTCTCTTGTGGTGATTGTTTGAGCATTGGGATGATTAGTAGCTCTTCCATGTGACTTTAACTAGTGTATTATTTGGCTACGGCAACAGTATTGACTCCGTTCAGGGATTTCCTTATTGACTTGATTTGTCCTCTACTTTATTATCTCAACGATCATTATTGGTAATGCTTGTGTTCGAGAAGAATCGTAGGGTGTTTCCTTTTCTCACTTACTAGTATTCACTTTTCGAGAAATGTTGACTGCAATACAACCATAGGAAGACACAGGATTTATATAATTAACTCTTATAGGGGATGAAACACTTAAACTACTCAAGGCTGTAATCCTTGAACGTCAACTTGTCATTGTTGCCAAAAAATGAGGGGATGTGATTTTTGTCAACCTATTTATATTGGGAGTTTAGCATAACATTATTAAACATACGATCTTCTGGCCCGCCTCACCTATATAAATTTGTTGACAAGCATCTCACTGTATTGTTACATCTCATTGTATCAAGCATACTATCACCTGATCCTCTTGTATGTATACAAGTTTAACTTACTGTATATTTTAAATGGAACAGGGATTTCGATATGTGGCATCTGGTCCCATGGTAAGGTCGTCATACAAAGCTGGTGAATACTACATCAAATCTATGATAGAATCAGACCGGGCTAAATCTTCGCATGTTTCTGCCTCGTGATGAGTGGGTTTGTTTCCTACATATGAAATCTTCATGTCTTCCATGAAATTCCGGTCTGTGTTCTTCTCCCTCAGGCTCAGTCTGTGAATTGTACAAGTGATGATTATAGAGGGCCCAAGCTTACCCGGTCTTGTTACGATATCAATTCCGGTTGTATTCTCAATTCATTGTAATTGTCAGTTGTGAATCATCTTATTAATACTTAATAACAAGAATAATTGCCTATTCTTCAATAGCAAATCATGTATATGTGCTTTGTTTTTGTTTCGGATTCTAGTTTTGGCACTTAACACGCGAAATGTCGGATGCAGAATGCAAGCAACGGCCGTACGATGATGTATCTTATAGAACTTAATACAATGTGATGATGAAGGAATGGACAGTGTAGTTAATATATTCCTTGCTTATAAGTCCCACCTGTTTGTTGGTACCATTTCTTAGAGTACTGGACCTACCCTGCTACTAAATTCTGTTTTGTCTGGGGCCTTTCATGCCCCAAGTTTTCAATTTGTAGGTCACAAGCTCACATGCATCTCCTCTGGGGACCATATTGAATATTGACGCTGGTGGCGTATGGGGCATCTTTCGGCCTTGTTTCTTAACTTTTGTCCGTACGAAAACCATCGTTATCAATATCCTGATGCATTTCACGCCAGAGTATTGTAGTCGGACTCCAATTATTTATTTTTTTTTGGTAAAAAGGAGTTTAGGAGGAGATTGGTTACTCTCATTGCCAGCGCAGAAGCTAGGGCATACTCACAACATCGAGACAGAAGGAATTACGCATGGCACCTAACTGCCAATTGCCGCCAGTATATATTTACATAGGAATTTACATATCGCACACCAACGAGAACTGCTGGTAGCAAAACTTGAACTTTAATGAAACAGCACACAAGACAACCTTAACAACTGAGCCAACCCTCTTGGTGACCCCAAATTTTTAAGTTGCTCTAGAAACCATATAATCACTGAGCGTGTTGGGTTCCTTTGCCTGCAGTACTTTTGTTTAGGGATGAGATGACAACAGTTCGGTTTGGGGACGGAAATGCTATATATCCATCCCCATAACCACGAAAATTAACCATATCCATAACCGCAAATTAACCATACCCACCGGATAACGGATTTTCCATCAGTTAATGGTTATATTCATCTTCATCAAAAACAAAAAATTATATTCATCTAATTGACGCATAATAATTTAGTAAATACTAATTTCGTCATTCAATAGCCACATCTAATACTAAGAAACATAACAATGAATGAATTTTTTAGAGTATAAAAATAAGCGTATTGAATAAAACATTGATGATGTGAGTTGTTGATATCTCTCATAAACATTATGTTTGGTGCATAATGAATATAGTATAGGATTTGATAAATAAGGAATATAGTATAGGGTTCGGTGAATACTATAATATTATATACTAAATATATTATTCGGTTTGGATTCGGGGACGAATACGGATTAGGACCTCTATAACTATATTCAAAACCATAACCAATAAAAGTTCACGATTTTTCCCCATATTCATAATATACTCAAATTTTTATACCCAAATCTACTCTATTCTGGATGATTATCCACGGTTATCGGGTTTAACGGTTTGGATTGTCATCCCAACTTTTGTTGTGTCCATTCATATTTACAAGTTGAACCTAGTCCCGCTGAGGCTCTCTCCTCTCACTGTCACCCCAATTCCTTTCATTCAGATTTCAGTCTCCAATTTATGACCGTTAAATTCGAAAATTTTAATTCCCACCTTGGCTCCCCAGTAGTCGCTACCACTAAAGCGCTCTGAAAAGCGATAATCTCTGCTTTCACAAACCAAATCCCCATCAAAATCACAAATGGGTTGTTGTCTCGGCACCGCCAAGACCCAAAAACCTCCCCCTCACCACCACCCAAATGGCCCCAACAACCGCCACTTCCACGCCAGATCTTCCCTCGCGGAACCTGACCCGACCCTTATCCCGAAAACCCAACTCAGAGCCGCAGCACCGCCACTACCGGTTGTTGAAATCGAAGAAGAGTCGGTGAAAGAGGTTCTCTCCGAAACCCCCATTTCAAAACCCCAAGTGCCCAAAATAATCCCAGACAAGGACACTCGTTCGGCTCCGAAACTCCAGTCTGAGCAGCCGCCAAAAGAGCTCGCCGTCGCCGTTGCCGTATCCGCCGAGCCTTCTCAGGCTTCGGAGCCCTGTGGGGTCAGCGTCAGCGAAAGCTACTCGTACTCGACGGCGACCACAGCCACCACCATTACGGAAGCCAGAGACGACGAGGCAACGAGTAAGCGGAAGAAAGATGTAGGTCCCAGAGTGAAAGGCGCTTCTTCAACCGCGGCGCGTAGCAAGCGCCCTTACTCCGGCGACCTCGCCGCCCGGAGGGAAAGAGCAGCCAGACCTCTGGCAAGGGAATCGGACACTTCGATTGCGAAGAGAAATCGCACCGAAACGAGTTCGTTTCGCGGGCGGGAGTCAGGTCAGCCCCGGACTACGCAGCAGCGCAGCGTTGGCCCCACCGGAGTGAGGCGGGATACGGTGTCGTCCAGGTCGAGGTCACCGGCTACCCGGACTGCCGGTGGAGTGGGTCGAGGGGGGAGGGGAAGAAGCCTGTCGGCGTCGAAGTTGACTGGACCAGCCGGTGGTAGTTCCTCACAGCTGGGAGTGGGAGTTGAGAAACAGAGCAAAACTAGAAAGGAGGATGGGCCAAACAGCGCCGTCGTGGAGCAGGGGAATGAGGGTAAAATTAGAGAGGAGGAACCAAACGGCGGCGTTTCACAGCAGGGGAGTGAGCCCTCCATCGACAACCCTTTGGTTTCGTTAGAGTGCTTCATCTTTGTCTAAAGTTGATTCTTTACTGGTTGCATTTTGTCAAAAGTGCTTTTCTTGTTTTTGAAAGTACTGTGGAATTAAGCACTTTCCTTGCAAATGTTGGCAAAACATGTTTTGCTTTCTTAAACAATGGCAAATTGGGTTTTGCTTTCTGAAACAATGTAAATTCTCTGGAAAATGGTATAAAGATCGAGTCTTTTATCTAAATATTGTTCAAGTTGCTCTAGCATCTTAATTTTGTGTGAATTAGTTATGAGCACCCTTCATTCGGAGAGGATCTTGTGTACTGACAGATGCCGCATTCAGTCTCTCTCTCAATCGGATGAGACCATGGGTAGGAACGGAAGAAAAGGGAATACGAAAGTCTCTCTTTCTATGTGTGGCCGGGCAGCGCATGCTCCGGCGGACCGACCTTAGAATTTACAAACTACAGACAATGACAATGTTGCTGTTCTTTCTTCCCATTGTTGTTATAATTGACTTATTTGGCTTGTTTTTGTGTGTGTGGTTGTTTTTCAAATGTTGAGATTTGCAAAATTGTGTGGGGATAGGTTTGTCCTGGAATATTGGTATCTTCGCTTGGAATGGGATGGGTACAATACAAGCTTCCAGCATCCCGCTGTTTCTAGGAAATTTCCTGTCCTTCCTCGGTTTTTCTTCATTACGTGACCACATTAAGTGAACTTTCCCATTGTTAGAGTGGTACATTGCTCCATCGGAAGGGTCATTACTCTCTCGGAGTGGAATGTTCTACTCCGAGCACAACACTACTATTTGAAGCACTACCACTTTAAGCATAAACGTTACCACTTTCACACTATGTACCGCACTTGGAGCATTCACACAATGAAGGACAATGGGTCATCGCTTTCAGGAGTAGTGTTGTTTTGAGTTTTGAGTTGAACTCCTACTGAAAACTGTTCGTGTTCTAATCATACAGCTTTGTGTTTATGATTAGAACCGTTCATACTATGATCATTATGTAAATATCGTCTATACAAAAAATGAATTAAAACTAAGGTTGTTTAATCAAGTTATCGTAGCAAATATATAGACGGTTTGTAATGCGTTTACCAATTATGATCATTTGTTTTTATACAATTCGATGACTAAATTAAAGACCTTAGTTTTAATTGATTATTTGTAGATGCGATCTTTATAGAGTGATTTATAAAATGAACGATTTTGATCATGATCATAAACACAAAGTTCTATAAATCTGGAACGAACAATTTTGATAGGAACTCCGACTCATCCTTTGAGTAGCCAAATACTATTCTTTACTTATTAGATGATTATTTGATATTTAGAAGTAAAAACCAAGAAAATCCATTTGAGATGACAGCCAAAGCTTTATACATATGATTGTTGTAGTGCTGATGAGTTTGGTTCCTGGCTTCTTCCTACGTTCAAAACACTAACGTGGTCGTCAACTAACCCAAATTCAATCATATGTCCGGAACTAAAAGAAGTAACGAAAACTAGGTTTTGTTGCCGGGATCCATGTCTTGCTTCGACCTGCAATTTAGCTGGAGATGGAACTGAAGCGCGGTTTGTGTTGATGGAGAGGCCAAGCGATGCGCTCTGGCAGACACGGTGCAGGAGCAGGATGTGCAATGAAGGTAGGCATATCTTCTCCAGGCATCATCACAGATACTTCTCTGGCATAATTTCTCATCTGCACAAATGTAATACAAAACATATCAACCCGAGCAACTATGTTTTAGGTCAGAGTTCGATTCTCTCCAATGTAACTAAAATAAACCATTGACGCATCGAAATAAAGAAGTCAGAAGGAAGGAATCCAAATGAATCAGTAAAATCAAAGAGGGTCCTGATCATGGAAGATACTTTTCTGGCGTGGTTGGTGGCTTTTAACTTTAAAGATTCAAATGCAGCATGCTGTTGATAATTTAATCAAAATTATTATAAAACAGGCTTTTTTAATTTTAATTATTCCCTTTACAAGTAGGTCGAGGAAAAGCAAACTTATAAAAATATTCCTTCAATTATATACGTTCCAAAATACTAACCCTCTCCACAAATCAAGGCTTCCTAAACATAAAAAATATCCAAAATTCCCTAAACTTCCTAAAACGCTCAATGTCGCGTGGACACGTGGTATATGGGAAGCGATTAAGATATGGCTTAAGTCAAGATTATAATTGTAGAATGAAGATTAACAAATGGGGTTAAACATGCCTGTTGTTTTCGAGATCATAGAAGGCATAAACATCGGTCATTGTAGCATGTGATTAAGTTTGCCATTTCCATGGTAATAGTTTAAGGGTAAAAAACAAGTTCTTGTTGCTAATTGATGGATCCTAGTATATATCTACCAATTTACCTAACTAGCTAGCTATTACCCACGATTTCGAGTACTTGAATTCAAAGGGTGTGAATTAGGGCTAAAACTTAGCATACTTTATGTGCCTATTTCTCTTTGAGTGTCAAGTGAGGAGAGACATAAGTGCAACATGGTGTATTCTATCTCTCTTCTCATGTGATGGATCAGCGTCAAAGTGACAAGGCCAAAGGATTAAGCCAAGTGAACAAAGCATTACAAACATTAATTATGAAAAATGGATTAAAATGATAAATTTTTTCACAAGATTTTGGATATTAATCATTAATTAAGTAGAGCATAAAATCACCCCGGATGACCCAATGTTTGGGGACGAATTCAAGCTTGTATTTCACACAGCATGTCCTAAGTTCAATTCTTGAGTGCGTGTGAATCACACAATAGTGGTCAGAAGGAGGCTGAAATGCCTCAGTGAGTCTTTCTGGCCCCCAAAATGGTGGACTTTTATGACGAAACCACCATCTGATCCCTTTTTAGAAGAAAAAAAAAGGAGAAGTAGAGCATAATAATGCAGATCCTATGAAATCTTAAATGTAATGCAGCCCACTATTGAAATTGGAAGCTCCAAATAACATCCTGTCATCTTTGCTGGTTGTTTTTAAATCATTAAACTAAACCACCAACTCCTCAATTAGCTTAAGCGCCTAAATGCTAATAATGCACACAAATGAACAAAAGGAAATGCTAAAAAGAACAACGGAAGGAAATTTCCACCCTCCCTTTTCTCTCATGCATTCTTTCATTTCGTTTCGAACTCTTGGACTGAATAAATTAAAAGAGAATTTACGGTGAAAACGAGAGAATGATTTTGTAAGGAGAAAACTTAAATGTGAAATCACCATCCAAAGAAAAAACAATGGTTTTTTTTTTTAATTTTTTAATTTTTTTTCCAATTTTGGCACAATCTCGTCAAATTTCACACCTTTAACTAGAAGTGCATCCCATAAACAAGTAAGTAAAAAAAGAAAGTAAGACAAACTGTTTATCAAACTACTCTAATTTACAAGAAGAGTGATTCGAAATTTGGCTGTAAAGGAGCTGGGAACACGGCCCTGTCCAACTGTGCTAACCCACATCTGTGCAGTAATAACAATTAAAGGGGAAGAAAAAAAGATAAAAAAGCTTACTTTGTGATAGTTGTGGCGATCAAGCTTGGAATCATTGTTGGTATTCTGTGCCTGAAGATCCAAATGAGTAGTGGCAGCAGTCCGAGCTGAAGTGGTCAGCTGTGATGATCTGGGCCTGAAAAATCTCTCAAAAATTGCCATGACGAGAAACATTGAGATGAGAATAGCAGTTGCTACAAAACCTAAAGAAACTGCATTCACTGAGTTGTTGAAGTTCCTCCATTGCTCCTCTTCTATCTCTGTATTTACTGGAGCTAGAGCAATGCCTTGCCACCTATCTTCACCGCCCATTAGATTCAGACCGAAACCTCGGAGAAAAAACGATGGGAAACTCGGTTGCGCATTTCTTTCATGACATACTGATATGTAAACAAGAAACGCAGACAGGAAAAGAGAGAAATAGTGAAATGGTTGGAGGATGAAATGCCTATGGAGTCGTTTGGTTTTATGGGATAGTTTTTTCTTCTACAGAATTATTAAATATGAGCACTTGTTTTGGGCCAAAAGTTTGTGATCTTGTATCTTCGTATATTTTATTAGTTATTCAAACCTAACAATTTCTAAAGCAGCCATATTTTATTCTAAACTATTCTAAGTTATAGGAAGTCACAAATACATTTCATAGATCTTCAATACATAGTTTCAAGCTGCAACAACAATTGAAATTTGTAACAAGAGTCCTCCATAGCTTCAGCTAAAGTTTAAAAAAACTCAAGCTTACAATCAAAGACATACTTAAGATAATCTACCGGCGTTTCAGATAAATTGTTACATGCCCTCCAAAGAAGAGAAAAATACACCAGCCCTTTAGGGGCCTCAGACATCTCACCGAAACTCGTTACTGAATCTGTTCCTTTACTTAAAGAGATACTGCATCGGCCTTATCCAGCAAGAGAAGGCTCTCTTCATAAGAATCAACAGAGCAATATGGTCCACAGATCTCAAGACTTCTCATTTGTTTGCTCACAAGGTCTAGGGAAACAAGTTCAGGCTTTGATTTTTGCGAGTTATATATTAGTTAAAGTGTAAATAGTACTTTATTGTCCCACATTTGTGAAGTACATATGTAATACCAATTGTAACTCCTATATATACTCCACTTTGGAGATTAATGAATATATAAGAAATTCCCAAATATTGTCATATATATTTTTGGTACTTACCATGTTTAGCTTAATATTGGTATTTACCATATTTAGTTTAATATGACATCAGAGCAGTTCACTCTTGGTGACTTCTGTGCTTTAATTTTGTGCCCATATTTTTAGTGAGTTCCTTCGTGAAAAAAAAAGTGAATAGTGTCACGCTACAGTACATCGTTGCTACAGTGTGTGAATAGTGCTACAATGATCTGTTTGTGAACATATTGCTACAGTCCGTGAACAGTGATTGCTGCAGTATTCTGGTAAATTGTTTTCATTTCGCTGCGTATCTTTTGTGCCTTTATTGTTCGTGATTTTGTTTAATGGCTCAATATAATTATAGTGTTGTTATGCATCTTGGTGGAACAAATAAATAGATAATTGATACTGGGGCCACTAATCATGTGACTAGTGACCCTAAAGTGTTTGATGAGTTATATGATTATGTTCATGATCTGTATATTACTAGTGCAAATGGAGCACCTTCCATTGTGAAGGGTGAATGTACTATCTCTCTGACTCCAACCTTATCATTGGTTCGTGTTTTACTTGTTCCTAATGTTAAGTGCAATCTTTTGTCGGTAGGAAAACTTCTTAATTCCTTATATTGTTCTGCTCACTTCTACCTTACGTATTGTTATTTTCAAGACATTCAAACTCAGAAGATAATTGGTCGTGGTAAAAGAATAGGGGGTTTGTACATCTTGATTATGGAGGATACTGTTGTTTCCGGTTCAAATAATCATCAAGTTTTAAGTGCTAAAGTGGATGACAAACATCAAATTTGGTTGTGGCATCGACGATTGGGACATCCATCATTCAGTTATATGAAGCATCTATTTCCTTCTTTGTTTCGCACTTGTAGTGATTCAAAGTTCAAGTATGAAACATGTGTCATGACTAAGAGTCATCGTGCTTCCTTTCCTGTAAGTGATTCTAAAGCTACTTTGCCATTTGATTTGATACATTCTGATGTGTGGGGTCCAACGAAAGTTACTTCTAATGGATTCCCTTGGTTTGTTACTTTTATTGATGATTGTACTCGGTTAACTTGGGTGTTCTTGATGAAGAATAAGAGTGATGTTCCGTTACTTCTTTAAGAATTTTGTACAATGGTGTCTACTCAGTTTCAGACCAAGGTTAAGGTCTTTAGGTCTGATAACGGAGGAGAATATGTGAATCACACTTTGGCATGTTTTTTTCGTGATCATGGTATTATTCACCAGACGACTACCCCGTTTACACCCCAACAAATGGTGTGTCCGAACAGAAGAATCGTCAAATAATGGAGGTTGCTCGCTCATTGATGTTGGATAAATGTGTTCCTAATAATTTGTGAGGTCATGCTGTTTTGGCTGCTGTGTATTTGATCAATCGTGTTCCAAGTAGAGTTCTTGATTTTCAGACACCGTTTGATGTGCTACAAAAACATGTTTCTTTTGTTTATGTATCAAAGCTTCCTCCAAAAGTGTTTGGGTTTATTGCGTATGTGCATGTCTACTCTCATCAGCAGAGTAAACTTGATGCATGTGCTTTTCGATGTGTCTTTATTGGGTATGTTAACAATAAAAAAGGTTATAAGTGTTATCATCCTCCGACTCAAAAAACTTATATTACCATGGATGTCACATTCCACGAGGAAGTTTCGTATTTTGTGAAGCCCTCTTCCGACTCTCCACTTCAAGGGAAGAGGGGGAGTGAAGTGCAGATTAGAAGAGATGGTATGGATGATGTGTTACAGACAGAGTTGGAAACAGAACCTATTATGTTGCGTGATACTGATCAGTTGACTACAGATAGTGATCGATCACCTGTCATTCCCGAAACTATTTCTACTGACGACAGATCAGATGTGCCCAGTGAGTTGCCTGTTAGTATGTCAGATGAATTACCTTCCGATGATCGGTTGCATGTTGCTGATATGTCTAACGAGTTGCCTAATGATGGTTCATCTAGTGATGATTCTTCTAACAGTTTGGTACAAGATGGTGGCATACATGAGGTAAATTCAGACGATTCTTCTACTTATCAGTTGCCTCCACGAGCTAATCGTGGAAAACCTAAAGTACAATATGAGCCTGATATGCATGCCAAAGCCAAATATCCTATCAACAATTATGTGTCTACTAATCGTTTGTCCAAACCGTATGCATCTTACATATGTCAGCTATCTAGTGTATCAATTCCAACAAAATTGCAAGATGTTTTGTCTGAACCTAAGTGGGTTAATGCCATGAAATTTGAGATGGAAGCTTTGGAAAAGAATTATACTTGGGATTTGGTTCCTTTACCAAACGGGAAGAAAGCTGTTGGATGTAGATGGATGTTTACTATTAAGCACAAAGCAGATGGTTCTATTAACCGGTATAAAGCCAGATTAGTTGCTAAGGGTTATACTCAAACCTATGGGGTGGATTATCATGAGACTTTTGCTCATGTTGCCAAACTTAATATTGTGCGTGTTATTCTGTCCTTAGCAGCAAACCAGGATTGGTCTATGTTGCAGTTTGATGTTAAGAATGCTTTCCTTCATGGTGATCTTAAGGAGGAAGTTTATATGGATTTCCCACCTGGTATTGGAACATCTCCTGGAAAATGTGTTGTATGCAGGTTACGAAAGGCTTTGTATGATTTGAAATAATCTCCTAGAGCGTGGTTTGAGAGGTTTACAAGTTCAATGAAAAAGTTTGGGTATATCCAGAGTCATTCAGATCATACTTTGTTTCTAAAGCGACAAAATGGTAAGCTAACTGCATTGATTATTTATGTTGATAACATGATAGTGACTGGTGATGATCAGAAAGAGATACAACGCCTTCAAAAGTACCTAGCTATTGAATTTGAGATGAAAGAATTAGGTGAATTGAAGTATTTTCTTGGAATCGAGGTTGCACGATCCAAGCATGGTATTTTTTGTCTCAACGAAAGTATGTTCTTGATTTTTTGCTGAAACATGTATGTTAGATTGCAAACCTGTTGATACTCCGATTGAGCAGAATCATCGTCTGGGCTTATTTCCAGATCAAGTTCCTACTAATAAGGAACGGTATCAAAGGCTTGTAGGGAGATTAATTTATTTGTCTTACACTCGCCTTGACATTTGCTTATGCAGTTAGTGTGGTAAGTCAGTTTATGCACTCATCTAGTAAAGCTCATATGGATGCAGTAACCCGTATTTTGAGGTACTTGAAGATGGCTCCTGGCAGAGACTTGGTTTTCTCCAAGAATGGTCATTTGAATGTCGAAGGGTATACAGATGCAGATTGGGCAGGTTCTATCATTGATCGGCGATCTACATCTGGATACTTTACATTTGTGGGTGGTAATTTAGTTACTTGGAGAAGCAAGAAACAAAAAGTGGTGGCTAGGTCAAGTGCAGAAGTTGAATTTCGTGGTATATCTCATGGTTTATGTGAGTTGTTGTGGTTGAAAAAATTGTTGAGAGATCTTAGGTTTAAACCCAAGGGTGCTATGAAACTTCTTTGTGATAACAAGGCTGCTATTGATATTGCTCATAATCCAGTGCAACATGATCGAACAAAACATGTGGAAATTGATTGACATTTCATTAAGGAAAAATTGGATGCTAGAATTATTATGTTTCTGTTTGTGAGATTTGAAGATCAATTTGCTGATGTTCTTACCAAGGCTGTGTCTAATAGTGGGTTTTCCAACTCACTTGACAAGTTGGGCATGCGTGACATCTTTGCACCAACTTGAGGGGGAGTGTTGCGAGTTATATATTAATTAAAGTGTAAATAGTAGTTTATTGTCCTACATTGGTGAAGTACATATGCAATACCAATTGTAACTCCTATATATACTCCACTTTGGAGATTAATGAATATATAAGAAATTCCCAAATATTGTCATATATTTTTGGTATTTACCATGTTTAGCTTAATATTGGTATTTACCATTTTTAGTTTAATATTGATATATTGCTCTCGATGTAAATGTGCTTGCCTCCTTTAAGAAGCATTACTAATACTTCACCGTTCTTTCTAAAAACATAACGCCCGAGGAAAAAGGTTTTCTCGACCCTGTGGACGGAGACTAACCAATTTGGTCCATGACTCCTTCACGCCATATTCCTTCATCACCCATATTTCAAGATAAAAATCTTTAGAATCGGTATTCATCACAAATAGAGCTATAGATTTTCTATCTCTCGAAACAGACAACAGCAATCCCAATGTGTAACTCCATACGACACTCGTTGACATTGATATCTTGCAAAATAACTCATTGCCGACGTCAAAAGTCAATATGAAATGATCATCGGTTGCCCTACTTACTGCAGGCCAATGAAGAACTCCATTAGAAATGACATGTTTTTCACTCCATATGTTGCACATTGAGGAGCAACCGAACCAAGACTCTTCCACGAGCCAGTGGCTAGTGAATAAACTTCAGCCATGGTTGGACCCAAAAGTTCATTGTTAGGGGTAACAACTCTAACGACCTTATAGTCAGCTGTCATAGCATCATAACCGAATCCAATATCAGCGTCAAACCTGCTGTTATACATGGGAAAGGTAATACCAGGGCTGGGAAGGGTCACTGACTTACTAATAAATGGGTTCCATAATATGAAGCTTTTACCAGAACGCACAATATCATCCGCCAAGCATACCAGCCCATTACAAATGCCGACAATGTGCAAATATTCACTGCCAATTTCCTCCTTGAGAGCAATTGGAAATTCTATCTCCGAGTACTCGTTGAAAGCCTGGTTATCATACTGCACAGAAAATACCTCTTCTCGTATTTTGGATGTAAGAATATTTTAATATTCTAAAGTAGTCCACATGACATGTATATGA